CCTTATGGCAGAATCGCTGGAGGACCTTAGCACTATGCTCAATGACCTCAATGGTGTCTCAACAAAGATCATGTTTAATGTCCATGTCACACCTATGCCGGTAATTGTTGGGAGCACTATGCTCGAAGTTGTTGTCGGGTACGTTTACCTGGAACAAATAGTCTGACTAGGTAAGTCCAACTTTGACCGAGAGGTCAATCGACGGATTCAACTCGGCTGGGTAGCGTTCGGGAAATTACGACACATCTTCTCATCAGGTATACCTCAATCTCTGAAAACTAAAGTGTACAACCAGTGCGTGTTGCCAGTGATGACTTACGGATCTGAGACGTGGTCCTTCACCGCTGGCCGTATGAGGACCCTCAAGGTCGCTCAGCGAGCTATGGAGAGGGCTATGCTCGGAGTTTCACTGCGTGATAGACTCAGAAATGAGGATATCCGCAGTGAAACCAGAGTGACCGACATAGCCCAACGGATTAGTAAGCTGAAGTGGCAATGGGCCGGCCATAGGTATAGCTCGAAGAACCGATAACCGATGGGGAAGAAAGCTTCTCGAGTGGCAGCCTCGTACCGGTAGGCGTAGTGTAGGGCGACCCCCCACTAGATGGAGTGACGACCTGGTAAGACATGCAGGAAGTCGATGGATGCAGGTGGCTCAGGACCGTGCTTTGTGGCATTACTTGGGGGAGGCCTATGCTCAGCAGTGGACTTGTGAAGGGCTGTAATGATGATGATGATGATGATTACCCTATCAATTAATTGTTTTTCCAGGTATGGAATCATTTCGATGCTGGTGCGTGTCCGGGTCAAGCGACTGGTGTCAGGATACGACTGGATAACGGTGTGTCCGGTTACATTCACATAAAGAACCTATCGGACCGGCACGTTACGGATCCGACGGAACGCGTCCGGATCGGACAGACCGTCCACTGTCGAGTACTGAAGATAGACGTTGAACGTTTTTCTGTCGATTGTACTTCGAAATCATCGGATCTATTAGACAAAAATAATGAATGGAAGTAAGTTTAACTTTTAAGCATTCTGTGCACTTTGCAAGGTTGTAATGCTCTTTTCCTGTTAAAAATCTGCATAGATAAGAACTATTCACTTCAATAAGTGATTTAACCATGCTGGTTACCACAACACTTAGACTAAGCGCATATTTTCAACGTGGGTGATCTATGAGCATGGTTATTCAAGCCAAACAAATTCCCCGAAGACTCTTTGTAAATATTTTATGTTACTTACAACACGAGGAGAGATTTTGGTGAGGTATAGTTAGTGACGAAAATATGGAGTGACCATATATGCATAGTGGCATATAAGCTCTCTGGTACTCGAGAGCCTATTCATTTACAATGAGACTTTCCACCTTAGTTCTCTGGGTGACAGAGCATCTGAATTACGATTTGTAGTCGAGCAGTATGTTGTCAACTACCCATAAAGTAGCTAAATGTAGGCCGGCGTTTCCTCATGCTCCATGTAGACTGTACAGAGGACTGTCTGAAATATTTATAGACACTGATCAAACAGAAACAGAAACTGAAACTTTTTTACTCAATGTAGATTATAACAATACTTATCGAAAGTCACTTTTTTCACTTATCACTGGTTCGCAAAGAAAACCTCTGTCCTGGGAAGAACCAGCAAGAAACCCAGAGGGACTATTTTTTTTTCCAATAATAGCTTACAATCATGTTCACAATTAGCAACACAAGACAAATTAGAAATAGCTTGGTAGCGATCACCCTTCCCAGGGGTTATTATCATCCATAAATTCCTTAATATTATAATAACCCTTTTTATACAAACTTAGTTTAATAACATATTTGAACTTTGTGTATGATAAATTTTGTATATTTTCTGGGATTTTGTTGCAAAAGCGTATACATCGCCCCAAGAATGAATTACTGACTCTGTGGAGTCGAGTAACTGGTACTACTAGCTTGTGCCTGTTCCTAGTATTTACAGAATGAATATCACTTATTTTCGCAAAACTACTTTTATTTTTGTGTACGTACATTACATTTTCATAAATGCATTGAGAGGCCAGAGTTAATATATTAATTTGCTTAAATTTTTGTCTCAGTGACTCTTTTGGTTTTAAATTATATATTGCTCCAATGGTCCCTCTTCTGTAAAATAAATATAATTTCAGTGTTAGTCGCGTGTCCCCATAACAAAATACCATACGACATAATGCTAAATAAACTACTAGCTGTTTCAACGTAGTCTTTTAGTATGACCATTTGGAAATGTAAACAAAAACCAATTTTACCTTACGTATTACTTAGTGTCATTCTCATACCTATTTTTGTTGTCAACGTGTCAAGCAGTTATGTATTCTGTATGTTGTATTCCAATATAAAAGAGCACCATCATCTTCGTTACAGCTCCACTTCACAAGTCCATTGTTGAAAATAGGCCTCCCCAAGGAACCCCGCAAAGCATGGGCCTGAGCCCATTAACTAATACTCTATCTAGTGGGGGTCGCCCTACACTTCGCTTGCTCGTACAAGGCTGCCGCTCGAGAATCCTTCTTCCCAGTCGGTTTTCGGTTCTTTGAGCTATATGGCCGACCCATTGCCACTTCAGCTTACTAATCCATTGGGCTGTCGGTTACTTTGGTTCTACTGCGTATATCCTTATTTCTAAGTTTATTACGCAGAGAAACCCCGAGCAATGGCTCCATAGCTGGCTGAGCGACCTTGAGTACCAGCAATGTATGATCACGTCTTAGATCCATTTCATTATTGGCTACACAATATAAAAGTTTGGTGAAATATTAAAATAAACTTTGTAGGAAGTGTTTTAAGGAGTTAAGGAGGTTTTTTAATACAATAAATGGGCCTCAAACTCTATCAGTGGTTTACATTAGCCTCAAACACAGAACAAAATTCCTTTATAGATTATCATTTATGTACCTCTAAAAGTTCCATTTTTCATTCTGGCTTATGTTGAATAGAATTCGAAGTTGTGTTGTTTATTTTAATTTGTAATCTTTATTCTAGACCACCAAAAGACCCATACTATGATCAAGAATCTGAGGATAAGGATCTTCGCAAGGAGTCAGAAGCCAAACAAACAAAAGAGCGTATGCAATATGTTAAGCGGGTGATTGTACATCCAGCTTTCCAAAACATTTCCTTTGTTGAGGCTGAGAAGCTTATGGAAAATATGGCGCAAGGAGAAGTTATTGTACATCCTAGCAGTAAGGTAAGATCGAAACTATTTTAAGTCATGAGGTTTATGATTCTCTGTTCAGATTCATCTATAACAATTATTAAATACGCGATCGATATGGAAATATAGAATATATAGAGGTTAATCGACGTATCCAACTCGACTGGGCAGCGTTCGGGAGATTACAACACTTCTTCTCGTCAGGTATACTTTAAAGAGTGAAAACAAGATTGTACAACTGGTGCATGTTGCTAGTGATGACGAATGATTCTGAGACGTGGTCCTTTCCTGCTAGCCGTATGAGGAAGCTCAAGGTCGATCAGCTAGCTATAGAGGGCTGAGCTTGGTGTTTCAAACTTAGAAATGAGAATATCCGCAGTAGAACCAGAGTAACCAACATAGCCTAATGGAATATGTAGTTATTATGATTATCTATTGTTTTGTGAAATGACAGATTATATACGGAGTAGAGCCATGCTGCAGCTATATTACGGTTGTAGCACGAATGGGTCGGCTCGACCGAGGAAGGATCACATTCTCACAGAATACCAGCGAAAATAGCACCTTAATACTGCTGTGTTTCGTATGGTGAGTGTAGAGATCTGGAGTCTTTACTGGAAACGAGGCATTGAATCTTAGTCCACAGGAGTGACAACGCATCTGCATTTTGAGTACATGTCGTTAAAATAGACCTGAATTGTGTGTGATAGCTACCCATGTGTATTAAGTTTTTGTGTTAACAGTATGCACAAGAAAATATTGATCGTAGGTTAAAGATTTTATATTTTTAGTTAATTAGAAAACATTTTTTTGGCAGGGTTCTGATCATTTGACAGTCACATGGAAAGTAGCTGATGGTATTTATCAACACATCGACGTTAGGGAAGAAGGAAAGGAGAATGCTTTCTCATTAGGTATGTTTTATTGAGTAATTTAAGTGTAAAAACAAAATTGGTAGTTACTTTAAATATCATTACTGTGTGGCGGCGCTGTGGTCGCGCCGCAAGCAAAACACACCGAAGCCTAAATCGCGCTATCAAAATTCCGAATCATAAACAGTATATATAGAACATCTCCGAACTATCACACGGAGTGTTGGCCGCTCCCTGGGCAGAACACCTTGCCCGGCAGGAGATCTCCCCTTTACCTTCTACGGCCACAACTGTATGCTTAAATTTCTTTTTTTTTCTTTTAGGTCGAAGTCTGTGGATACAGGGTTCGGAGTTTGAAGATTTGGACGAAATTATTGCCCGATACGTCACTCCTATGGCGGGGCACGCGCGTGATCTTATCGCCTATAAATATTACAAACCGCTCGGCGGCATGAGAGATAAGGCTGAAGAGTGGCTCAAAGAGGAGAAATCGAAAAACCCCAACAAAATTCACTACGTAATTTCCGCCGCCAAAAACCACCCGGGAAGGTTCCTGCTCTCTTATTTACCACGATTGAGGTGTACCCACGAGTTCATATCGGTGACACCAGACGGTTACAAGTTCAGACAGAGAATGTTCGACTCGTTAGGCGGATTATTAAAATGGTTTAAAGAGCACTTCAGAGATCCGCCGCCGTCGGATACGCCGGCACAACGTACGCCAGGTCTGCGCACCCCGCACGGCGGCATGACGTCCACCATGTACCACACCCCGGCGGCACACACTCCTGCCTTCCACACGCCAGCACACACCCCGGGCCCGGCGTACATAAACACTCCATATACCCCCCTCCGCTCAAACTCCTTACATGACACCGTTCGCAACGACCCCCCCGCCAGCCGGACTTCCTGACGCCCGCAGTGCCGCGACACAAGCCCGTGCAGATGCCGATGTACGCGGAGCCGTCCGATTGGCAGAAGGCGGCTGAGGATTGGGTGCGACATCGAACGATCCGCGACTCGCCAGCGACTCCGCGTAGCAGTGAGGGGATGTCGACTCCACGCCACGAGTCCCGCACGCCGCGGCACGAGTCCCGGACCCCGCGGCACGAGTCCCGTACGCCGCGGCACGAGTCCCGGACCCCGCGCCACGATTCTCGGACGCCGCACGGAACGCCACATGGGCACGGTTCGGGCCGCTCATCGCGCTCGCATTCCGTCCGCTCCACGCCGCACACGAACACGTCGCCGCGATCTATGTCGCTAGGTGACGCGACACCGCTCTACGACGAGAATTAAAATTAAGACTGATCGACTGGGTTTTTCAATTTTGCCTACCCACTTTAGGTAGGTAGGTTTGCCTTTTGTGAAATAGCAATACGTTTGTGTTTTAATACCCCGGAGTCGCTTTGGTATATCATTAATAATAGAAGCGCAAATGTCTCCATGGGTCTTACCTATTTATTTTACAAACTTTTTGTTTGTATTCGTAATTTGACAAAAAATAAAACATTTTATTAATGTAAAATGACAGTAAACATTGCTATATGAATAATCAATGTAATATTATCGAAAAATAAATATGCCCTAAAAGTGGCAATTCTAGGATAAAAGTCTCTTAAATTGCGAGATTTAGCTTTGACATGAAGAAACATTGAGCTTGATACGCTATTGCTTGTGTATCGATTTTTTACTCAGATGTACATTTTGTATTGTCCTTTAAAGTCCTTTATTGATATTGATTTTGGGGTTAAACTACACAGGGCAGACTGTCACCGAAATTGTTCTATCATTAATTAGTGACATTAAATTTAATTAAGTGATGATTGAGAGCTGTATTTTGACTTTTGCAAGAATCATCACCAACATAACCATTATTTTCATCATTAACCCACCTTAAATCCACTGCTGAACATTGTTGTCTTCCCTATAAATTGTCACAAAGCCCTTGCGTCCATCGACTACTTTTTGTTTGAGATCCTCAGATAATGTACTTAGGGGGTTCACTTATGACTGCGCTAATTAGTACAAGGTGGCTATTTAAGAATCTTTGTCCTCCATCAGTTCCTTGAGCAATATTAGATAATATTACGGCCCACTGCCACTTCAGCCTACTGATACATAGGACTATGTCAGTTACCTTCTACTTCTTATATTCTTCTTTCGAGATTTTATCACGTAGAAGAGACAACACTAGAATTGGTATCTCCATAGCTCGCTTAGTCACTAAACTTCCTATGTCATTATTATACTGTAGTAAAAATGATTTTTTTCTACTACAGTTATAACAACGAGTGTAAATTTTTGTTCTGTACGTTTTTCTTGCTATAAATGAAAAATTCTTCGTTTACGTATTCTGTTAACTAATATTACGGCAATTATTACTAAGTAGTTTTCTATAATTTCATCAAAACATGTGAAACATCTACTTCTAATGCACCCTCTACACTCGCAGGCGATTCACGCCACAGTTCGCAAGTGCAAGACACTACGTTTCATGTACTACTGCGAAAAACTGCGAGTGTGGTGGATACGTTTGCGTTCGCTCGCCATGAACCAAGCGCAAACTAAACAAATAACTGACACCGATCGGGCAACGTTTTTTTTTTACGGTGACTCCGATATTCATTAGTGGTGGCGGACTGTCTTGGTATAGTTGCTGTAATATGGATCATTTTCTTATAGTGGAATCAAAGTATGAAATTTATTTGTAAATGAAGACTATTTAACACCTAAAACCTGTATAATGTAATCCAATTAATCTTGTTACCATTATACCTTCGATATTATGAAGTCTACCCCTAAATGAAATGTACATTTTAGTTATAAGACGTTCAGTCTAATGATAAGCGAATTTTATCCATAATCATACAATTGGCAAATATTTATAAATATTGCTGCAAATATTTAGTGTACCTAAGGTATTGTTATGATAATTTTGTCCATTGTTCTTCGCTGAAAATTTGAAACACACGTTGACTCTTCGATAATGTGGACTATTACCTGATTTGACGTTCCTCAAGCAGATTGATCACACCTATATAATTTATTCGATGCATTTCATTTGAGGGAAACAACTCTAATAAAATTATGACACCTATTTATTAATGTTTTTCATTTTATTTTCTATAATACTAATACAGCATCGCGTTGGAACACAGTTACATTGATATCGTATATAAATGTACAAATAAATTTTTCAAATTGTTGGCTTTCGGGTCAGTGTTTTTATGCAGGGTTAGGTCTCAGACTTCATGTTGTATGAATGAATAAATTGAATTTACGGGACCAATATACTTCGTGCTTCTTCCTCTATATTAGTAACTGAAACTTATTAAACACAGGTAGTATCAGGTTTAGGATTCACCACTAACACCATAGTTGAGAATTAAAATTTTTAAAATCTCGATTCCCCTTCTTTCTCCAGTCACGAACAGTTAAGTGCTTCACCACTCAACACCTCTCTCCATTTTTAAATTGTGTTCAAGTTAAGTACTCTCGTGCTTCTCCTGCAACACCCAACTTTCACTACCATACTCATCTACTTGCTCGATCAACTCCCCTTCTATGCTTATTTCACATATCGTCTTACTTGTGTTCACTTTCATTTTCCTTTCTTTTAAAAACCTGTTCATTAATAACCATCATTTGCAACTCGGCCGCCGACGATGCAAAAATAACTTGACAATAATAAAAATAACTTTATTGGCGTACAAAAGGCATTTTAACCCCTCAACACCCAAGTGGTCGCTTGCGACCGCGGCCATGTTCCGTCAAATCCCTAGCGGTATCATGAGGTCGCACCCACCCACAGCACTTTAACCCATAAAAACATATATAGAGACTACTTTTCTATGAAGAAGTTTGGCATTATATAATATGAAATACTCTATCCTCTAGGGCAATTAAAAAAATGTTATCTTTTGAATATTTATTTATAATGTACGTTTATTTCGCACGCCATTTTCGTGTATAGTGTTTTATTATAAAATTGTAATGAAAGTTTTTGTGTGAATATAATTTATCTATTTACGTAAACAATTTCGAGTAATATATAGAAATAATTGTGATTTTCACGCTGTCGACATTCGCTTGGTTTATTTTCTTTTTCTTATCAATATACAATAAAATCTTTTTTAATGAAGTAATACCTGACTTTTGTTTAGACCACAAGATAGAGAATTTTGTATAGATTTTATAATGCTAAACTTCTTCATAGAAATTCTTCTCTAAATATAAGTTTTAATGTATATAAGGTCTGTAGGTGGGTGCGGTCGCTTGCGAGCGCTCGGGATTTGTCGGGCGTATGCGACTGCACGGGATTTTTAAGGGGCTTGAGGGGTTAAGGTTTACTTACCCATTCATATTCCGCATTCTTCAGCTTTCAAATTTTCCAAACAACTGTCTATAAATAGATTGAATAGCTACGGGGAAGCCACACAGCACTGTCTGACACCTTTATGGATGCCATGATCTGGTTTCAATTCATCAAACTAAAGAGTGGCAGGGTGTTGTTTCAACCGATCAAGTTGCGCTTTTCCAGCGCTGTAACACGTACCAGGTGTCTCATCCTTCAATTTCAGGGCATTGCACCACTGACACTTGTATGTCACAGAACCCAAGACTACACTGTTTCAGTATATTAGAAAGTACTCTGTGCTACACTGCTGTCAGTTCTATAAGCAATATTAGGGTCATACTCCATAGCGGAATAGACCTTGTTTTTCATAAACACAGTGTAATGTTTTCCTCATACCGTGACCGAATTGCTCTATGCATTTGTGGGTTCGCAGTTTGGTAAGAGTTTTTGGCGGGAACTTGGCCGTAGACGGATTGTCGCTCCTGTTTTGTCGCTTGAATAATGGTTTTAAGTGGATTTTGATTCGTAAAAGTGATGCGATTTTGTGAATTAAGTATCCGCGCGTGTGAACTATTAGAGAAAACGACGAAACAAGTACTTTGATGTCGATATAAACCTCAAGCTATTTTGATCGCTTGGGCGCCTTATGAACTTTAGTGGCTGTCGTCATCAACTGTCCGCTAGGTTGAGCTGTCGTCAAAATCTCCCAAGGGCTTCGCAATGTGACGCATCAGCATATTGTGAAGAAGAAGAACATAAAATGAAGATTCCCAAAGAAAGGATAGGCTCAGAAGGTCTAGAAACTAGAGCCGTAAAGCCAGTTAATAAAGAAGAAAGCAGTTTGGTAATTTGCAACAGCTTGCCTGTGTACATCGGGATTTTTTTTCTGACAAGCAGACATCTTTACGATTTGAATTTGGCTCTTTCGCCTATATCTTTCTTGTGCAATTTTCAATTGACTTTTTCTTGTGTGTTTAGTAAATCTCGACCTTCGTTTATTTCTTTTTTTCATTTTAATGTCGGCGATACAGATTGATCTGTTTCGTTGGTTTGATATTTCACTGTTTACAAAAGTATGTAAACAGTTAAATGGTCAAGCTCTGAAAAAGGATCACGCTCTTCGATAGGTACCTCCATGCGACACTGTAATTTTCTTCGCAACAATAAGCAGTTAGGCATCAAAATGTCCATTAGATAAATCATGGCTAAATTGTAATCGCCTTACTAAATAAATAATCATTAAATAAATAGATAATATACAACCAGACATCGAAGATATACGGCCGAGGGTTAAAAGATAAGAAATTGGCGGATAATACAGGGTTCTGCGTTTGAGCCCAAAGCAGTCCGCCACAGGGACGTCTGCAGAGATGGCTGGAGGAATAACTTCGGTCAGCAGACCACCCTACACGTCGTTCACCACACACTTTTAGAACCAGAACCAGATATTTAGTCCTCTTATCATCTGTTTCGGTTTTTATGAAGTTCTTGTCATACGAAATGATAACGGTATAAGGTACCAATTATTAGTATGGCAAAATCGCCCTATGAGTCAATTTATGGGAAAATCCTATATGTCCTATATCCAGTAGTGGACTTTTATAGGCTGTAATTGATAGATGGATTAGTATTGTTGTACATACACATACTTAAAAATACATACATTTATTACGGAATAAGACTTTTTAATAAATAACTGGCGAAACAACCCCATACCCAATTCAATATAATAAACTTTTCTATTGTGTTGTTTATCAGTAACCTTAAGTGACAATGGGTTGAACCTAAAGCCCTAAATCTAAACTTTGAAACTGGCAACTGGCAGCATCATACCAGCAAGCGATTTGTAGGGCATTCCCGATAGTATGAAGTAATAAACTGATGAGACGAGCAGGGAGCCGATGGATACAGCCTGCATCTGGTTCTAGAATCAAGCGTAGTCTTGAGAAGGCATACATTTAGTGATGTATTTATGAAGAGCTGATATAATGATACAATACTAACTTATGTATACATTTTAATAAATATTAAAATAACATCGTATCTGACCAAGTATCAAATTCATTTTTTCAGTAAAACGGATCCTTATCTTTATATCACATTTTATAATTACCTTTCAACTTATTATATAATCAAAAATCTACGACTTTCAACACATAAATTAAAAATTAAAAAAAAAACCAACCAACCCAAAACAAAAAGATTCGATAATCTTCAAATAGATTTTCTTGACACATGATAAGAACACTCGATCAAGTTACCTATCAACCACAGTTAAGTGTGTAAGTGGGGCAAACGAGCATGCGGCTCACCTGATGTTAAGTGACTACCGCCGTCCATGATCAACCGCAACACCAGGGGAATTGCTGCGTTGCCGGCCCTTTAGAAAGGAGTAAGCTCTTTTCTTGAATGTCCCCAGGTCGTATCGGTCCGGAAAAATCGCCGGTGGTAAACTATTCTACAGAGAGGTCGTAGATACGCGGAAGAAAACTCCTTTTGTAACCTACAGTGGTGGACCGCCAAGCATCCAGATGGTGCGGATCGTATCGGGACGTTCGCCGCGTAGAACGTTCACGAAATTTGGCGGCTGGGATTAATCCGAACAATTCCTCAGAGCACTCCCCATGGTATATGCGAATATATAATGCGAAAGAAAATGCAGAGATGCAACATCTCTTCGCAGCGCCAGTGAATTTTGTTTTCTAAAATGATTAGCTACAAAATCAAGTAGATGGCGCTATTGAAATGCAATTTTACTTCAAAGAAAATATTGTTTTAATTAATTACACTAAAACTTAAGCTCTACGTACCTAAAATTAAGGATTGTAACATTTATTTGTTATAAAATAAAACTTTTATCTTTTATTTTATGCAGCACTTGTGGCTGAAAATTATCACATTAAATAAATTATTTGCCATGAAATATTTTTGTTTTATATTTCATTTCGTATAAAGGTTTCACTTCTACTGCGTGTGACCTGCATGTTTTTTTCCTCGATTGGATAACTTACAGCTGTAAAATCTGCTCCAAAGAATGCTTGTTGTAGGCCGATGAACACGTTTATAATGATAAGCATCAATTGATTCGGCTCTATCAACAGCTTAATTGTGACAGAAAGAAGCGCGATGCTGGATAGACCAGAGCTGGACCCAGAGCGTCTATTGTCGTACCTGTTTTATATAAACAGAAATTAACTCAGTTGCTAATAAAAATATATATTCCTAAGATATGTGAAGTTCGTCAACACGCATTGGAGCAGCGCGGTGGACATTTTATTGGCCTAAAACACTCTCAGGAATGAGAGGAGCCCTGCAGTTTAACGTATATAGGCTGTAACTTCAACTAACTTTTTTAACTCAGTTGCTTAATGATAATAAAGTTCTGCAGGTTGATTATTGCCACAGCAACAACGTCGACACAATCTGGAATACTGTTAGCTGTTCCCTGTTGATAATTTATTTATAAATGTCGTTTTTCCTATAATCATTGAAAGGAGTTCATTAGTTGGAGGTTTGTATTTTATATTTTCAAGTTGTAAAAATTGTGGGGGAGTGGCGATCGGAGCCACTAACCAAACCTGTTCAATAACGAAACTTGACTTAGGAATTGGCGATCGTAATACCTGAATTTCTTACACCCATGAAGATAAGTATTTTATGTCTGACGTAAACGAGATAGATATACCACCATACGTCAGAACTCCTGAAATCGTTCTGATATTTCAATAGTCGCATTTAATAAGCATTGCTTTATCATATATCTAAAATTGAACATGTTTCATTGTTCCCTACAGTGTGCAACTCGGCCACTTCACTAAACGACGATATAATAACTCGTGGTAGATCACAGGCTCAGCACTTTCAGTAAATCTCATCACCCGGCTTCAACTGCTGACAACCCCAACCACAAACCCCTCCTCCCCTATGTCTTACCAGGTTCCTCCTTGGGGGTCGCCCTACACTACTACTATTTAATTTATCTATTCGCGAGCAAATCTTACTCAATCCCCGATAACACCAGTGAATTTGTTGATTGCAATTTTAAAAGCTGATTTATTGCGTATCCGACGGTGAAGCAAAACATCTTGAGGAAATCTGCATTATAAAATATTTTGCCTACGTGTGAAATCCATCAATAAGCGCTAGAGCAGCGCGGCGAATAAATGGCTCCATAAATCTCCGAAATGGTGGTAGGCCTATTACTTTACTTTCTGAATGTGTGAGTATTGTGCAAAACTTATCTCATAATTATACCTTATTAAATCTAATACATGGAACTAACTGAGATCAGATACTTAATTTATATATTAAATAATAGCCGTGGCTTAAAGAATAAGCAAAAATTAACACCTTTTCATAGAATCCACTCCGACTGCAACAATGAGTGCAGCACCAGCCATACACGCTAAGTATATACCTGAAATTGAAATTTAATATAGGTAATAAATTTATAATATCCATTTCTGTGTAAATTTAATATGTAATGTTATTAATATGGAAGAGACGTGGGTAATTAATTCATAAAGACGTTAGGCGTAACTTATACGTGGTAAAGCCATGCAGACTATATTATGGGGATGGACTGGACTGGACGCGCTCCAGAATACCAGTGTGAAATAGCAAATTCGTGCTGCTGTGTTTACCACTCCTCATATTTTGCCTCACTTCCTTAATGAGGCAAAATATGTAAATACACTTGCCATAGCTGCCACTCTTGCCTCGGGTTTGCAATCGAAGTTTTTATTTTCTAATTGTTATAAGAAAGACGCTGTTGCCAATCTTAAGGTGTTTTACCTTCTGTCACCTATTACGACATGGCCTAGTGGATATTGTAATCATTTTATCTGCACTACTCTAAGGAAGACTGGTAGATAATACCTTGAGCATTAAGCCCGCCAAATTACATTAAAGTACATAAGAAGTTTAATAAATAAATATTATTGCACCGCCACTACTACACTTACCAGCTATCATTTGAATCCTCTCAGGCGGTTGAGTTTGCAAAGCATCACCAGCATCCGCGCTAGGTAAAAAGTTAGCTCCACAAAACTCTGAAATCTGAGTCTCGTTTAAAGCAGTTACTGCAGCTTTGTTGTCTCCCGATGATAAAACTGCAAAACAGATGGGTAAATATGTATAAATAAAATACTATTATTCTTTTTGAATTTGAATAGTTAAAAGTATTTTATCTTAAAATCTATTCATAGTAAATCAACACATTTATACAAATAACGGAAAAGTAATGTTGGTAGCTCTAACATTTCCTAAAAAAAAAACAAGACCAGGGCAAATAAATATAGATTATAAAGCCAAATTGTCATTGGTTTTTAGAATTTTCGTCTGTTGTGTCTTGCATTCACGATTCACACAAAAACACTTGGATGGATTTCCATGAAATTTCGTAAGCAGATATTTTTATCTTTATCTGATGAAATAGGCTTTGTTGAATCACGTTGTTATTACTAGGTCCCTATAATACTGTCCTGTGCCGATGGCTAGTCGTTGAGGCTGACCGCCGTGACCGAAATTCGGTCTGGAGAACATTACATACGTCGTAAAATACACAGGGAGCATATTTACGTTAGTTTTTTTTTAGAATAAGGGTGCCAAACAAGCAAACAGTCCATCTGATGGTAATTAGATGTTGTGACCCCTAGACATTTACATTTATCCTCGATTAAGAATCAAAATGCAGATGCATTGTCAGGCCTGTGCACTAAGGTGGAATGCCTCGTTTCCAGTAAAAAGAGTCACCGGTTCTCTACACTCACCATACGAAACTCAGCAACCTTAAGCTGATGGTATGGTCTTACTCAGATCGACCCGACCCATTCGTGCTACAACTATTAGAGGTGCACCGTGGCTCTATCACGTAAAGTAGTATAGTAATATATCAGATGCACGACCGCGGTCTGCCTTCTCTTATATCTCTAGATCACAACTACAAATAAATCAATTACGAATTTATTACCCGTTTTTCTCCCTGCTCCCTCAAGATATTATCCCTTATACAATTATTAAGAAGAGTATTACAAAAAAACGCGAAATTACGAGGTTTCCTCGTGGTGCCATGTTTTTAATTCGTTGCTTGAAATAATTTAAAAATAGTTCGTTTTCTCTACAACAATAAGCTCAAGACAAATTTTAGAAAAGTTATTTATTTATATAGTAATAATCATTCTCCCGATGCATGTTTAGGCCAAAACTCTGAGAGACATGATTTGAAAGATTCTTTTGAATATCGACCATTGAAAAAAAATTTATCTCTCAAATATCCTATATTTTAATAATCATAGCATAAATTTTCATTATATGCCTTTCACGTAAGGAAAAAAAAACGACATAATTATATTAACGACCGAAAAAGCTTCGATACAAGCCCCAATATCTCCGAAGTTCTACATCATTTTGACGTAAAATCTATACCAAATCTATACCAATCATCAATATTTGCTTAAACTATACTATTATTTTTACTTTTTAAACTGTTACTATTATTTTTTTATTAATTAAATAAGAGTACCATATATTTCACTGCGCTGGCCATCTGCGATCGTTATGGCGCGAGCGCTTGTCGATGTAAGCTAATAAAAAATCAAAGTATAAAAGTAAATTGAAAATGATTACATTTGGACGTCAGTTGGTCGTTGGTCGATTGTTCATCCATATCGATTTTAATAATAATCGAAAAAAATTATCTTATTCAGAAGTATTAATTGAACAATCTCCTCTTGCTTGGTGTACTGTTTTATTATATAAGTACAATAGAAAACTGGTTGAAGTGATTTCAGTTGAGTGGATCGCGATTTTTTGATTTAGTGACAATCACTGACCTCTATATTGCGTACTTGTAAATATAGAGGTCAGTGGTGACAATAGAGCACTACATCTCTGTTGCGTGCAAAAATGTTATTTGACAAACGAAATGCTGTTTTTTTTTCGTCAAAGAAACACATATACCTATATATTTCATTACATTTTACACTCACTTCCGCTCATGGGATTTTTTGCTTAAATGAAAATACTGCCTTACGTACATTCAAACATATATACAAACTCGCTCAAAAAGCCTTTAACTTAGGAAAGGTCTATCTTTATTAAGACAAACAAGCCCACAGGGCACCTGATGGTAAGTGGATGCTGTTGACCGATTAAGAAGCAAAATGCAGATTCTTTGGCACCCTTGAGGACCAAGATTAAATGCTTCGTTTCCAGTAAAAGGGTTTCCGTTTCTCCAGACTCACCATACGAAACACAACTACATTGAAATGCTATTTTGCGGCTGATATTCTGTGAGAGCGTGGTCCTTTCCCGGTCGAGCTGATCCATTCGTGCTACTACCATAATATAGCTGTAACATGGCTCTACCACGTGTAAGATTATTGTCTACTGTCGTAGTCATTAGTTTTTAGTATTTAGTCATTTTCTGTGACGACAAGCATCAAATGGATAGATGAATATTATTAATAGTATGAAATTTGCATTCGTAATTCGTACGAACGTAGGTTGACAAACTTACCCAGGGACGAAATGAGGTTTCCCCATACTTGATTCAGCTGGAAGATCATAAAAAATACTCCAAGGAAACGACTGAACAAGGCTTCGGCTGGAATGTTAGAAATCTTGCTATGAGCCTCTGCAACCTGAAATATAAAGATTTTAAGTAAACGGTTACAGCCTATGATACTGGCTATTCGTTGGACTACTGGTTCGAATTCCCGAAAATTATAATCTGGATACTTGTATATGTGCAATTAATTTATGTAAAATGCATTCAAAAAACTGAAGAAAATCCTGCGTGAAAAAATCCTAGTGCAGAAGAAATGTTATAAAATAAAAATAAAATCTATTACTTAGTCATTTTCGAAAGAAACTAAACTTTTAATCAAACGAAACTCTGTCTGCAATGTCACCGACGGGGTTAGCCAAGATGACATTCTACGATCGTCATCGATAAGGAAAACTATAAAAATAAATCAAACCAACGCTAAATCATGGAAAGGTCACGTATCTTGATAGTCAAATAAGTCATTTGCATTCGTTTTATACTGTAATTCATCGTCGATGGGTGAACAACCCCCTGAAATCCATCAGTCAACATTTACCTAGAGATTGAACGTTGAATCAATCTTTCTTGTCGTTCATAAACAAATCCTTTAGCTTAACAGGATTTCATGCGTTATAGTCTATTATTTAATTATGTTTTACACATAAAGCAACACGGGCCACCGGCGTGGCGCTGCTGTTCGTGGAGTAGTAGTCATACGCAGGTGCTCCTAGGCGTACAATAAATAGATGCAGTTGCACTGCTCACTAGACTAAATCTAATTGCGAGGCTGAATCGACATTATACAAAAATGCCGAATTGTTCAGTTTTTTTTGCTGTAAAAAGAGATCTGTCTGTCTGAATAAGTTATTATTAACCACATTGTGGTTATTTATTTCTATTTAATCCTAAAAATTACAATGATAACGGTGGTGTTGTTTCGGATTCGTCTACCAACACAGGCCGCTCGTCCTCAAACAATACGCAGATTGGTCAAACGATCGATACGAGTCACCCAGCGATACTGTTTTAATGTACTATGTGTGTTTTTTGTATTTTTAACCTATTATTTATTTATTGTTTAAGTATTTTTAAGCTATTGCATAGCTTCTATCGCGGGCCTTGAGTGCGGGAAAATCCAGAAATTTCGTAACGAAAAAAACCTCACGCTCTCCGACGGGCACGGAGGTGTGGCTTGAAGGCCGTGCATTGTCTAACGATTTTCTAACGTCGTTTCTTTTCCTCAGTCTTCGACACGGTGTTTATGTATAAAGTGTTTGAAATTTTGAATATGAATGAACAAAGTGTATTTATTATTAAGGCTGCTCTCTCGCAAAAAGTTTGAAAAAAGCGTGCAGATGAACCAACTTTTCGTCGACACTTACAGAGAAATTACATATGAAAAAAATAGCTAGTAATCTACATGATCTGATACGTAATTTGGTTTAGCCATAATTTTTCTATCGGTGTCACATAATAAATAAAAAAATACCCAAATCACCTCCAAATCGTTGAGATGAAACCACTTTACTCCTTCATTGTTTATCAAAGGAATATAAAAAAAATATCTACTGCTTTGCAGTACAAAATAAAATAATTTGGTTTGGTTACTTTTTAGAAATATGTATTATTTTTATGATAATAAATTAAAAATGCGTCCCGATTAAATACTGCGTCTATATCACCCCCGCATTCGTCCACGAATTCAGTGCGGGGCGCATCGTGTTGCTAGGTGGACGTACGCCGCGTTGCGAGAGCTCAGCACTACGAAATAAAATCGTAAAATATTACTGCAAAAAATTTAATTTTGTTAATAGTGGAGTAGATTTTTATATATTTTTATAGAGTAAGGGTGACAAATAAGCATACAGTCCATTAACTTGTAAGTGGATGCTGTCACCCATAGATATCTACATCAGTTATCGATTAAAAATCAAAATGTAGACGCGTAGTCACCTCCGAGGACTAAGATGGAAATGTCTAATTTCTAATACCAAACAGTTTCGTTTCTCTTCTTAAGCATATCATGTTCTGTTGTTCTGCTGCTCCTCACCGGTCCGAGTATTTTAATTCTTATGTAAACTAAATAGGTATAAACAAGATGGGCATTGGCTTTATGCCATTTATCGGAAGCCATAAAAGTTTTCTGTCGTTGACTGTTATCGTCTTTTACGACAACCATGGGATACAAAGGGGTGATGACTCATGGTTTTATTACACCGCCACCACGTGGCTCAACATTAGTTTAATAGAAATCAGCAAACATTCTTAATTTAGAAGATTACAAGATATATTTAATTTTATTTCATTATGTGACAAACAATTTTTTTCGTTATAAGAGTTACTCCATTTATGGCACATGTCGCGTACCTATGTTTATAATTAAAACATGGTCTTTATGCGTTAGACGGCGCATGTTAGCATTATATCTCTCGGTCGTTCGGTTTTATTTTTCCCGTTCATTTATTTTCCAACAAATATTGCCTTACTTTCATTTCATCTGTTTATGTCAGCTTTATTGAGATGATAATATGTTACAATAAAACTATCAATTTTTTTACCCCAATTGAAAATGCCGTCGCGAATCCAAACTAATTAGTGCTACATTAGCTTAATTTTTTTACGTCCATTCATGTGAACATTCTGCATTTATTTTAAAAGGAAAACAAAGTCATGTATCCACGTCAGAGTTATTTATTGAAGGAGGAAGCATGATATTTGCATAACTATAACTAAACACATTGGGATGAGTTTAATATTCAGTGAATATGAGATATACATATTTTCATATACAAAATATTATATATATTGGATTAAAACAATCTTTAGATTTTTCGGATGCTAACAAGGAAAAATACGTTTATGTAGTATGAGAAATATATTATTATTCTTCAGCCTCAATAATTAATTGGTTTTCAGTTGAAAACGGACCTAATCTTTATAATCGATTTTTTTTTAAATTGCTTTGCTTGTCAGACGGACTTGCAGGGATATAATTGCAGTTCACCGTCTTACACATTTGACAAATCTGAAATTATTATAACGTTATCTTTCGTCATGAATGTTCCGAAATCTGTTTAAATGAATTCAATCACTTAGAATATTTATCACATTGTTGTACTTTTTTAATAACCCCCGAACAAAATTGACACATTTTTTTTATATCGAAACCATTGTAGAAGGTAGGTTCATCTTTCTTTACGGATTCCTTCAGTGGCCTGAAATGCCAAAGTTGCCGAAACAACAGCGTTACTGCCTCTTTCAGGGCTACAACCGATATATGTATTAATTTACTCTGCGCTTATGTGAGTGTCCTAAGTGGGAAATGAGTAAATTCTTCTGTATTTGAAGTTTTTATAACTGTTGTTTATTTAACAGAACATGCAGATGCATTAAGCATTAAGGAACAATTATTCTGATTCAAAGATGTTTCTTTTGAAAAGAATTCTACAATGTAAGCAGTTATACAAAATAGCAGTAATTGTATTTAGGTTTCAATTTTTGCGTTTGAAGCGAGGCGAGCTACTACTACTAAAAGTTAGTGACAAAATAGTTAACAGTCAATTCAAAGTCACCGGTAAATGGCTAGATATAGGTTTTCATCCTTGAAAAATGTTGAATGATTATTTTCTATAAATTTTTATAACCGTAAATAAGCGTGCTCATTACTATACAATGTAATATGCTTCTAAAAGCCCAGTATGGACAGGGTCTCTCCCGTTGTAAAAAAGATCTGTCCTGATCATCACGCTTGGTCGACCGATTGACGATCGCAGTGCCGGATGTCTCGCTAATTTGGCGCTGTTTCTAATCGCTGATCTGAATATTGAACATCTCGCGTAAATAAAGATAGCGTGGATAGTAAAGCTGACATACTACTATTTATTGAAGGCTGAGAGGTCGTAATAACATATTATTTTCCCTTGCCATTGTGTGAATATTATTAAGCCTTCATTGCTGATACTAAGCGTTATATTTTTTAACATAGTAGCTAATTTTTCAACTTATAATCTAGCACATTTTTGTGGTCAGCGTGTCCTGTGACACACAGGCCTCTTCTAGCTCTTTCAAATCTTGTCTATTGTTAGCTTTTTTAACCAGATTGTCCCTTCAATAATCTTGATATTATCTGTTCGCCTTTTAGGGTGCCATTCCCTTATGATTTGAGTCCATTTTATATTATGATTTCTTAAATTTACGCGAACACTACACATTGAATAAAACTATTATTTACGGATTTTATCGCGTTTAATTACTTTAATTTATTTTTATTATTATCCCGACGTTTCGGGTGCTTTACAGCGCCCATGGTCACGGGGGGGGGACTGAGATGTTATAATTTTATTTTTTTGTTATGTGAGATGTTGTAATTTGTCAAAACATACACTGGACGAACCGACAATGAAAGTATTAGCGAAGGGAATGAACTTCGCATTAACTCCGCGAAAAATCCCGTACGAAGAAATTATCTGCAGTGTTGAGGATTGTCTGTTTAAGAATAATATCGGTAAGGAAGATTTGGAGGCCATACGTCAAGATATTTCGTCCTTGTTACGTCGCAGTTCAGTGCCGAAACCAAACCTTCCCAAAGACGAATTTACAGCGCTAAATAACTTACGGAACAGACCAGAACTCTCGATTCTCCGCGCGGATAAAGGAAATGCTACGGTAGTAATGGACACGTCGGAATATAATTTTAAAATACAACAACTTTTATCGGACGAAAGTACATATAAAAAGGTCAAAACAGACCCTACAACTAACACGCTTAAAACAACTAGCGATTTAATAAAGAAATACTCCGAAAAATTAAATCTCGACGTGAATTCGCTAATACCATCATGTGCCAAACCACCGAGGTTGTATGGGTTACCGAAGATACACAAACCAAACGCTCCACTACGTCCCATAGTGAGCCAGATCGATTCACCAACTTATAAGCTGGCACAATACTTAGCAAAAATACTATCACCACTGAGAGGACATACCAGAGCACACACAAAGGATTCATACCATTTTGTGAGTGAGATAAAAGACCTACATCTCGCTAACAATGAAACTATGGTCAGTTTTGATGTTCAGTCACTATTTACATGCCTACCTATTATGGACTGCATCTCAATTGTAACTAGGAAGCTAGAAGAAAATAACATGCCTCAAGAATATGCAATACTACTTGAACATTGCCTCACATCTATTGTGGAAGGAGGAGTTCTACAAGCAAGTAGATGGTGTGGCGATGGGCTCACCTGTGTCTCCCATAGTCGCCGACATATTCATGGAGGACTTTGAGGAGAAAGCCCTTCTTACTGCTCCTGTAAATCCAAGGTTCTACAAGCGGTACGTAGACGACACTTTCACAATTTTACCATCTGACAAAGTAACTGCATTTTTAGACCACCTTAACTCCATAAACTCTAAAATACAATTCACAATGGAGTTAGAGGCAAATAATTCTTTAGCTTTCCTAGATGTTTTAGTCATCCGAAATCCTGATAACACTATTGGTCACACTGTGTATAGGAAAAAGACCCATACCAACCGATATCTAAATGGTGAATCTCACCATCATCCTTCACAGTTAGCTACCGTGGGTAAATCTTTGTTTCAGAGAGCACGAGGGATCTGTGACAGAAAACATCTGGCCGCGGAGCTTCAGCACGTCAAGCAAGTATTGCAAGACAACAAGCTTCGGGTCCCGCGCCTACGTCACAGTGAACGAGTGAAGCCGGCAACAGTCGAGCGCGCACCTGCTCTACTACCATATGTTGGAGGAGTCACGGACAAGATTGGCTACATCTTGAAGCGAGCGTCCATTAAGACATACTACAAGCCGCTGAAGAAGATTAGTCAATTTTTACCATCCATCAAATGTAATATTCCTCTACAAGATGCAGGTGTGTACAAGCTAGATTGTGAATGTGGTCTCTCTTACATAGGTCAAACAAAGAGATCTATAAAAACCCGCGTGAAGGAACATATAGCTGATGTGAAGCACCGACGCTCCGGGAAGTCTGCAGTCTGCGAACATTTTCAAGATCGTCCCCACCATTACATTAGATTTGATAAACCACAAATTCTCGCAAAAGAACACCGATTCCTACCAAGGATGATACGCGAGGCTATTGAAATTAAAAAACATCCAAATTTCAATAGAGAAGATGGTTGGGTGCTACCATCTGCTTGGGATCCTATAATCAACAAAATTAAACCCAAACCCAAGCATACCACTGCAAGACTTCATGATACTATAAGCTCGTTTTGCGTAAATCGGACCAAAAATTAATATTAAAAAACTGAAGGTAGCCGGACTAACTATGACATTGGGACGTCAAACATCTCAGTCCCCCCCGTGACCATGGGCGCTGTGAAGCACCCGAAACGTCGGGATAATAATAAAAATAAATTAAAGTAATTAAACGCGATAAAATCCGTAAATAATAGTTTTATTCCATTTTATATTGTTTTCCCTTTTTATGTGTCCATTGCCATTTGAACTATCTTGTTTCCTTACTGTAGATATGATATCTTCTGCTCTTTTTTTCGGTCCTTAAGCGTAACGCCCAACATACTTCTTTCTTTCATGAGACATGGCAAGATACACGATTTAAACACTTTTTTCTTGGCTGTCAGGAAAGTATTTACTTTTGAATATCTTAAAAAGAACAGTATTGATAGTTTTGAAATAAAGATTACTATATCGAAGTAATATATAAGACTAGCCTGCCAGGCAGACGTTGTTCTGCCCTTTCTACGACCCTGTCATGTCCTATTAAGAATCCTTAAATTCGCAAAAAATAAATTGTGGGTTACTCATGGGCAAAAAAAAACTATCCTATCTCTCAAGTTGGACCAAACTGCACACGGTGTGCAAATTTCATTAAAATTGGTTAAGTAGTTTAGGAGCCTATCGCGGACAAACGACGTGACACGTAATTTATATATATCAAGATAATCCACAAAACGGCATATTTTCGCATATCTCACTTAAGTAGCAACCATGGAGGTTAGAGAGAAGGAGAATGTCCGTGGAGTTTTTATATGTTTTGTTTTTATATTAATTTTTAAGCTATTGCATAGCTTTTATCGCGGGCCTTGAGCGCGGGGACCGAATCCAGAAATTCCGTAACGAAAAAAACCTCACGCTCCCCCACTCCGACGGGCACGGAGGTGTGGCTTGAAGGCCGTGCATTGTCTAACGTCGTTTCTTTTCGGCAGTCTTCGACACGGTGTTTGTGTGCGTGCAACTAGACGTATTGTACGACTCTACGAAGCTCGCACGAATCGAGACGAGCTGCTCCGAAATCGGACGCAGGAGCAGCTGTTTATGAGAAAGTATATAGGTGTATAGGTATTTATGTACAACAGTGAATAGCTGTACTTGTAAAATTTGTGTATAAAGTGTTTTGAATATGAATGAACAAAGTGCATTTATTATTTATTTATTTAATAAAAAGAAAAAAAATTGTTTTCTTATCGGTCACCACGCTCAAAAAGTGTAACTTGAATTAATATCAAAGAAAAAGAAATACTGCATAAATAAAATAAATAAATAATTATAATTGCATAAGTTGATACAAAATGCTATGCAATAGCTTTACCGCGGCAGTCCTCGAGTGCCACACGTCTTTTTTTATTGTAAGTTTTATTTTCAGATAGGTGTGTTTCATCACTTGTCTAGGACCCTGTATGGCAGAATAGCAGGAGTAATCCGTTTCCCGTAACAAGAGTCATAGACCGTTTTTCCTCGATTAATTATTAAGCTGTTTATTTAAATTTTAAAATTGTATTTTGTTTGTGCCAAATAAGTACATTTTATTTATTTATTTATATGTACTGTGCAGTCGAAATTTTCTAAAAATATTTGAAAGTTGTAACCTTTTATCATAATGAGCGAGAATCCAACAAAACTTATAAAAACATTATTTTGTTTTAGATCAACCTTTGATGAATTTTATCTTAAAGTTTTTCTATTTATCCGCAATAAATAAATAATATAATCGATCTAAAGTGGTTTGAAATAACTACCAAAGATACTTGTTCAATCATACAACATATTCATAGCTTGTAAAAAAGTTAAAACAATGTTTATTCATGTATCACAGTCACGGTCAACAATAAAACTTTGACGATCGCCAACGACGATCGTTTCGACGAGAATTTGACGATCACTGATGATCACGGCAATAATAATTTGCAACTAAGTTTAAAGAATTATGATTTATAACCATTTATTACATTCGCTGTTAAATAGTTTGACATTGTCTATGAAAATTCACGATCAGGCAATGAACAAACCAAATCAATGATAAAACGACTAACAACCGAGTTTCCAATACGTACATACTCTGTTATTAAGACAGTCCCTCTGTGGACTCTGTGTGGAGTGCCGTCAATACACTGACCTCTATTATACAAGTATAATATATGGAGGTCAGTGTGTTAATAATACTAGTTACTAATGATGTGCTCAGGCGTATCGCAATTTTTCTGAATTTGCGGGCTTCCTGCTTGCGACTCTCTCTCTCTCCCTCTCTCTCTGACGAAATTGTTAAGGCGGATAGGCAAACAAGGAAGCATACATTTTTTATAGAAGAACGGGCAACCGCGCATGCGGTTCACCTGATGGTAAGTGACTGCCGCCGCTCATGAACAACCGCAACACCAAGGGAATACTGCAACGCGGGTGCTTTGCCGGCCTTTAAGAAAGGAGTAGGCTCTTTTTTTGAAGGTCTCTAAGTCGTATCGATCCAGAAAAATCGATGTTGGTAAGCATTTCCACAGAGGGGTCGTACGAGGAAGAAAACTCCTAGTAAAACGTACAGTGGTGGACAAGTAATAAGTAAAAATCGACTTCAAAAACTAAAAGGAATTAAATAATTTCCACATTATATATACTGAAGGTGCTATGAAAGTTATTATGGATAGTTATTTTTTTTTCAATATTTGAAGTAAATCTTTTCTTATATTAATAGTTTCATATTTTTACCCTTTTAAGTAGACTAAGGAACAAACATAAGTTCAAGTTAACAACTAAGACATGGTCTAACGAGTTACATTAAAAACTTCACTACCTAACGTTCTTCAAATTAATATGGGACCATCCTGGAAATAGAAGCTATTTGATAATGAACAATCTTTATTTTTAATAGTTTATAGAATCAGGCGTAACTTTGCGGAAATTTATTATATTAAAGTTGGCAAGAATTACTTCACCCATATCCGCTCAATGAAATAAAATGATGTGTCTTACCTAGCTTAAAGAGCATCTCCCGCCCTCAATTGCGTGCACTATCCCCGTCACCACTAATCACAGCACCACTACTCCTAACACCATTACACTGGGAAAGACACACCATCGACGATAACACGACACAGGTTACGCCTCTACACGAGGCATCCTCAGGTGATTTAGACTCTGCAGAGTAATTCTTACCAACTTAAAAAAATCATTATTCCAATGAATCTGTGAACACATAAAAAACATATTCGTCGAATATAGAACCTACTTTTTTGATGGGGATAGAAATGAACGTTTTTTTTAAAGGCCACCATCTGATTTACAATCTAATAAGAAGTATTTTAAATTAATGGTAATTTGTTTAGGATTTTCACACACAAGCATACATTTTCAAAGTAAAAAATAAATATAAAATTGAAATAAAGCTTCTTACCACGGACAAATAAGTACATTTGGAGCACCACAGTGGACCCCCACCGAGGCCTAGGATGAGGCCAGCGGGGATCAAGGTCCAGAAGCGTGGCAGCAGCTGTACAGCGATGTATGGCATGTAAGACAAGAATGACAATACCATCGCCCATTTCGTGCCCAACCATCTAAAACATTTGCTTTATTTATAGTACTCGTATATATTATTAAGTATGGGTGTAAAAGAGAATAATATGATGTTCTTAAAATATCAACTTTACTGGGTAGGTAGATGGTAGTATTACTTTTCTACCTGCAGTGTCAGACTGTGATTACACACACAGTCTAAAAGGTATAGAGAGCCAGTGTAATTACAGTCTGTGAGGAATCCCATCTTCATCTTCAGAGATGTATAGACTTTTTTGCCTGAAGTTGACTGCAGACGTCTCTAGACTGCAGTAGTCACTAATTATCTGATAGTAAGTTCCTTTGTCACTTAATAAAATAGTATTGAAATGATGTTTTAAGTAAAGTATTTGAATTTTAAAACGCCATCAAAATAAATAATTTATCTTTGCGGACAAATTGGTTTTGTAGTAGTGTATCATGATTGCAGTGGCAGTTGTTATAAATTTATAAACTGAAAAATATATAATTGAAAAAAAAAAAACACTCGAAAACGTTTAACTTTTTGACTTTTCATCTTTCAGCCCTCTAAAATTCACAGATGAACTATTCTATCCTTTATCTGTTTTAATAATTTTAAAAAATTCCTAATTTATTTATTTATACATTAGTCTCTTAATTGGTGACTTGTATGAAGGATTTGATGAAATATATACTGTCTCTTTTTAATTTATAAAATTTAATTTTTTAGTTAAAAAGCTAAAATGTATTTAAAAGACGAGAAGACCCTATAGAGTTTTATATTCATATAAATTAAAATTTTTTATAAGATTTAAAATTTTAATTTATATGAATATTTTATTGGGGTGATAGAAAAATTAAAATAACTTTTTTTATAATTTTACATTAATAAATGAATAAATGATCTGTAATTTATGATTATAAGATAAAATTACCTTAGGGATAACAGCGTAATTTTTTTTTTAGTTCAAATAAGAAAAAAAGTTTGCGACCTCGATGTTGGATTAAGATAAAATTTAAATGCAAAAGTTTAAAATTTTTGATCTGTTCGATCATTAAAATCTTACATGATCTGAGTTCAAACCGGTGTAAGCCAGGTTGGTTTCTATCTTTAGATTAATAAAATATTTTAGTACGAAAGGATCAAATATTTAAAATAGTTTTATTTAGAAGAATTTTAATAATAGTAGGTATTTTTAAATATGACTATTTTGGCAGAAAAAATGTAATGATTTTAGAAATCATAAATATATAATTTTTAGATTAGATTATATATGTAGTAAATGATATTAAAAGACATAATAATAATGATTTTAGGAATATTAATTTTAATTTTAGGGGTATTAATTGGAGTTGCTTTTCTTACATTATTAGAACGTAAAGTTTTAGGTTATATTCAAATTCGAAAAGGTCCTAATAAAGTTGGATATATAGGAATTTTACAACCTTTTTCTGATGCTATTAAATTATTTACTAAAGAACAAGTTTTTCCAATATATTCTAATTATATTTCTTATTATTTTTCTCCTATTATTAGTTTTATTTTATCTTTAATAGTATGAATATTAATTCCTTATTATTTTAATATAATTAGATTTAATTTAGGAATTTTATTTTTTTTATGTTGTACAAGAATGGGAGTATATACTGTTATGGTTGCAGGATGATCTTCAAATTCTAATTATTCTTTATTGGGAGGGTTACGAGCTGTTGCACAAACAATTTCATATGAAGTAAGATTAGCTTTAATTATATTATCAAGAATTATATTAATTATGGATTTTAATATAATAAAATTTTTTATTTATCAAGATTTAATTCGATTTTTTTTAATATTACCTTTAAGAATAAGTTGAATTTCTTCGAGATTAGCGGAGACTAATCGAACTCCTTTTGATTTTGCAGAAGGAGAAAGAGAATTAGTTTCAGGGTTTAATATTGAATATAGAAGAGGGGGATTTGCTTTAATTTTTTTAGCTGAATATTCAAGAATTTTATTTATAAGAATGTTATTTGTTTTATTATATTTAGGGGGATATAATATATCTTTATTTTTTATTTAAAATTAATTTTTATTATTTCCTAATTCCTTTTTTAATAAGTAATAATTTCAATAGGGTATTTTACACCATGTAAAATAAAATCAAAAAATATATATTTATGATAGATTTTGTCAAAAAGTAAACGAGAAATATTGATTACTGTTTATAAAATTGCATTGTAAATTTTATATTTCAATTTTAAGAATATTTTTTTCGTCTGTGCCTTAAATCTGTAAAACGGTGTCCGCCATGTTAGGTATGTCGTGACGTCACTGATCCCTCCTAAGGATATTAGTGTTCTGGATCATTGATTATGAGAACTAGCTAACGTGCTGTGTTATTTCGAAAATTTTCAAGTTATCATTACGATTACTGAGTTTTATTACGAATTTTATTGAAAAGGCACCATGGAAGACGAATTCGTAAAAGCAGAAAGTATTAATCTACCAAGGATAAATAAATTGATGGTGGCAGAATTTTTTGCATGCAATTGCAATTTTTGTTCTGCTGGATTGAGGAATCTTAAAACATCAATGTAAGTACCTATTACCAACTTTTGTTTATACAAAAACATAATACCAGGAAGAGTGTATTTTGATAAAACATAGTTTAGTATCTATCATAGTTTAATTTATCCATAATTACAGTCATTAGCAATCATTAGTTATAATATCTTAACGACGTACGTTAACGTAATTGATAACAAAATTTGACTTTCGATACACTTCACATCATGATGTTTGTTTTGTATTAAACGATAGTTAAATATAAGTCATACTTACATCAAAATGATCTTCACAGAAGAATAGTCTGGTTTATCTAGACATTGTATTCGGGTATCTTATTGCCAGTTTTAGCCAAGTATTTTTATATTTAAATCAGTTAGCACTTGAATACATAACTTTCTCGGCGTTCTTATGCTCGTATTTTTGCATTCAGGCACAACACAACAATGATTTAGATGATAAAGTGCAACTGAGCTTATGCACACACTCCTACATTACCCTGTCCTGCGCAGAGTACTAGTCTCTATTAAAAATAACCGTTATGGCAGTAATTCAATCCGGAGCATATTATTATTACTTTGACGGAACGGGGACCTTATTATAACTTTTATGGGACAAAATGCATTGCTAGATACTCATAGAGCGTCGTCAATCAATTTACTGATGATTACAAGACCTTTTAAATTGTTGGACCTAAACACAACGCTATAAAAACATTTTGTACCGGGATCTAATAAGAACAAAGAAGACACGCCATTCACTTCTAATATAAACACAACAAATTTTTTTCTCAAATATTTTATCGTAGTAGTAAAGCCGGTTTTTTATTGATAAATTTAAATATTTACAAAAACCGAAAGTTCAAGGCTCTACTGCTTTTATAAGTAGTATCATACAAAGTAAGGTGAACAGTGTTGCAGATGCAAAACTAAGAAGAAAAAAGAATAGTATATGACTATACTTTTTTCTTCTTATGGCATATATTATGGCATATATTATGGCTGTAGCACGAAAGGGTCGGCACAACTGGGAAATACCATATTCTTATAGAATACCAGAGTGATAAGCAGCATATGCTACGTTTCATTCATCTTAGTCGTAGATGGTATTATAGATGTAGGTGTCAATGGGCCACAACAGCCACTTATCATTAGGTAGATGTGTGCTCGTTTGTCCTCATTACTTCGATTTAAAAAAAACCTATAGGAATGTGAAAACCGTTGTATTATATGTTTGCATCATATTTTTTTATGTTCTGATACCATTTCAGATATTTCCTGCTCTATTAGCATTTCGATATTAATTGTGATAAAATTTTGGCTGTTATTAAGGTTTATTATACTTACTTGATAACGATAGTGGGCAGAAAAATACTTGAGAAAATCAATCCCGCATATACTGCGGCTAAGGAGGCTGTACCCAAACCAGCTTCTGCATTGATAGAGCTTTGTAAATTTGCTGCGCCCTAAAAAAATTAATGATAAAAATACTGACAAAATAGAAATAAAAAATATCTTTTCGTTCATTATTTTTTTGCAAAGGCCACTTAGAAATACTAAAAAAAAACAGACAAGGATAAAATGTTTAAAACGTTAGTCTGGTCGCGCACCTGTCACAGTGAACGAGCGAAGCCGGCCACAGTCTAGTAAGTGCCGCTGTATTTGAAAATTGATAGCAATGAGAGCATCCACAACTTTTTCTGCCACCAGGGAGGCACCACAAAAAATGAGGTGTAATATTTGACAGATTAGAAGGGAAGTTAATTTGTTCGGAAAATTCAAAGATTTATTTTTTTTCTGTATCTACTATTAGTTAGAGCACTGGTTTGCTCTTTAATGTTTTGCACATTTTAATTTTTTTTTAATTTTTCTACCTTTACGAATATCTGTAGTTTGGCGTATCAACTGTTAATCTAATTTATATAAAATATAATTCTATTAGTTATAGTAGTGTTAAAATTATATATACAGAATAAAAAAATATTAACCGTTGCGTTTCATACAAATTCGTCGATAAGATACGTGCGCCACCTACTGTAGGTACATTGTACTATGCCTATAACTTTCGCACAAGTACAAGTCTGTATCATCATTATCACCATCATCATTACAGCCATTCACAAGTCCACTGCTAAACATAGTTCTCCTCCAAAGAATGCCACAAAACACAGTCCTGGGCCACCTGCATCCATCGACTTCCTGCAAGTCCTACCAGGTCGTCACTTCATCTAGTGGGGGGTCGCCCTACACTACACCCACCGATACGAGGCTGACACTCGAAAACCTTTTGCCCCATCGGTTGTCGGTTCTTCGAGCTACATGGCCGGCCCCTTGCCACTTCAGCTTACTAATCCGTTGGGCTATGTCGGTCACTCTGGTTCTACTGCGGATATCCTCATTTGAAGTTTATCACGCAGGGAAACCCCAAACATAGCCCTCTCCATAGCTCGCTGAGCGACCTTATGCGTCCTCATACGGCCAGCAGTGAAGGATCACGTCTCAGATCCGTAAGTCATCACTGCCGAAACGCACTGGTGTGCAATTTAGTTTTCGGGTTTTGAGGTAATTTCCCAAATACTGCCCACCCGAGTTGATCCCTCGATTGACCTTTCGGTCGAAGTTGGACTTACTTAGTCGGACAATTTGTCTCAGGTAAACGTACTCGTCAACAACTTTGAGCATAGTGCTCCCAACAACTACCGGCATAGGTAACTAGAATCAGAAAGCCTGGTGCACCTTATTCTCAGATTAATGTTATTGCTGCTAACAAGAGTGGAAATTATCGTGAGGGTATTAAGTATCTAGAATTATAGTGGAAACTTTTGTCCAATAGTGAAACTTATTTCAATAAGGACTGATTTAACTCTTATTTACATTTACAGTATCAATTGAACAAATACACTTTCTTTATAAATAGCTAAGATTAACCTCCTCTTTCTGTTTTTCGTATTTTTTATTATTTCTAATAAATAAACCATATAAAGTAAATAATAAGAAAATACTCACACTATACGCTGTGAAATGAACCATGAAAGCTAAGCTGATAACGACTACGTTTTTCATGATTCTCCACGTCTTGTTCGCCTTGAAATCAGTCGTTATCTCTTCTTGATTCGACATTGTCGTTAACACACAGTACAGCACTTACGTAATTACATATATATGCACTTAATATATTTATACACAGAACTCAATTAACTTTTAATAGTGTTAAAATTAAATGTTTGTACTTTTATATTTTATATCAATTTATTAATCTTCAACTTATTTATAATAACGCAATATCTATAAAAATATTTTTAATAAAATGTAGTGGAAGAGAAATTTGTCAAGCAAAAAGATTTTATGTTTTTTCCAAATCCGTAATCCGTTACAGCCTATTAAAAGTCTACTGTTAATCATATCCTCTGCCTTAAAGTCAGTCTATGGGGAGGCCTCATAATTGCCATAGTTTGCCACGTATAGCAGGTGAATTGTTACCCGCAGATTTAATTTTTTACTTGTTATTAAGAAGACTCTGCTGCTCATCTCCTGGTTTTTTTCCTCTGTCGCCTCTTACACCATCCACGTAACGGTATGAAGTAGTGGATATTCTGAAGAGTGTATATTCAAATATGCGCAAGTCAAAATCTACGCGATTGCTCTGTAACGGTGTAATGTTGACGCACACTACAACGTTCTCTCTGTGTGCGTAACTGTTCGAGGCGGGGCGAGCGCAAGCTTAGGCCGGTTTTAGAGTTCGACCGACCGTCGGTGCGTACCATCGGTCTTGAGGATACGCATAACCGATCGCCAGTTTGTAGCGTGCAGTGCTCTCCTGAGTTCAGAGCTCTCCTGAGCAACTAAACTGGCCGGACTGGTACAGTCACAAACATGTACATGAAATGGACGCCTTTACAAATTGCTTAGTTGCTGCTTACTATGTACGTAAAAGTATAAAGAACAGAATACGTAGATATCAAGTACACCCATCGAAATTCGGAAACAAAGCCGTACAAACTTCTTCCCAGCCCTTTAACTTAACATCATGGTCTTTTTTTTTTAAAAAATTAGGCATTCGGTGTCGACATATACCATGTTTGATAAAAATTACTAAAATCACTAACACTACTTAATACATATAATATCATACAATGTTATTAAGTTTAGATTAGATTTTCTTGATGATAATACACGCATCCGTACGGTCGGTCTATTACTGAACCCGTCAATATGTTTCTATAGCGCGTCGGTCGACCGACGGTACGCATGCGGACGCGTTGGACCGACGGTCCTCGTACGCAGTGCGTAGCAATATACGCGTGCGTACGGTCGGTCGAGCACTGTAACGACTTGTGAATTTTCATACAAATGGCAAACGCGACCGACGGTCGATCGAGCTCTAAAACCGGCCTAACTAATGGTATCTAGCAACCACGGAGCCAGGCTAGTTCTTACAGATATGTTTTGTTGGTGAGGACGATAGAGAAGTTCAATTGATATACAATAACTTTCTTCATATAAAATCTGGCTCGGTAAGGCAATTACAAGAAATGCTACCATATAATGTATACATAAGAGAGTTAAAGCTAGTCCTGGACAAAGTGTTTGCTAGGTACGCCAAATATATTTAAAATTGTTATAAATACTGAAAGAAAGCCTACAAATGGCCACAGTGGACGTTATAATCAAACTACGTCAAATGAAGTGGCTTTAGTTATTGATGGACAGCAAATTTCTAAGCGGGATATTGCAGTTGAGAGCTTTTTTTATTGTTTGTAACATTTTAGTTTGAGGACTTCTTTTAAGTATGAAGATACTTGTGATAGAAGGCCCTCGCCCTCCCTTAACTAAGTACATTTAACAACAGTGTGTGTGTATGTGTGTGTGTGTGAGTGTGGTGAGTGTGTGTGTGTGTGTGTGTGTGTGTGTGTGTGTGTGTGTGTGTGTGCGGGCGTGTATGTGTGTGTGTGTGTGTGTGTGTGTGTGTGTGTGTGTTGCTGTGTGTGTGTGTGTGTGTGTGTGTGTGTGTGTGTGTGTGTGTGTGTGTGTGTGTGTTTGTGTGTGCTTACGTGTGTGCGTATGTATGAAAAAAAACAGTGAGTGAATGCGTTTATAGGATAAATTCTAATAAAGTTTCAGTTTGATCGTAATTGTCTTAAACTACTGCATTATTTTTTTCTTACAGTCGTATGTTTTTATTGGATATATTTGCAATATTTTATTAATCTGATTGTATAAGTGTTTATTGAATTTTCGAAAAGTTGGTTTTCGTACTGCAAGTAGGAATTACGCTATAATTTCTTCTACTACTACCGTATTGATCCTACAATGATTTAAAAAGGAAGGATAGGCCCATCTAAATATTTTACTCAAAACTTTTTCATACAAGAAAAAGTAGCGCATCTTTCATAATACAAACGTCATATCATAACACGACTTAACCAGGGTCGGGTTTCGTATTATAATTATTATCCTAATTGCACCATTACTTCATAGTTGGTACTAAGCGAAAATACCATAATTTTACCTAAAGGTTGACTTGTATTATTATTGGGTCCTTTTATTTTTTAATATTAACCCTACGATATCGAGAATTTCTGTATTGTACATGAGTACCGCGTTTTTTTAATAAAATTAAAATTAGCTCCCTTTCTGGTCAATCGGTGCTCGATCGATGCATTTACGTTGCATTCTTGATACAACTATAATATATCGTGGGTCTACCACGATAAAAACTCTCAGCTCTAAGCAATTGGTTTGAAAACAGAATTTCAAAATATTTTATGAATCAGATTTTCAGATTCAATTAAGCAAAAATGGTTTCCTTTGTACTCTCTTTTTAATTTTACCCTCATTGAATATAAAAAAATATTAGGTACCAATATTCAAAATTTTACCTACACTACTCGTAAGTTCTCTAGAAAAAATTAAACAGAAATAAAAATAAAACCGGCAAAAATGAAACGTTTTTTTTTATAGAATAGGATGACAAATGAGCACACAGTCCACCTGATGGTAAGTGGTTGCTGTGGCCCATGGAAATCTGCATCTATCTTCGATTACGAATCAAAATGCAGATGCGTTGACATCCGTGAGGACTTAGGTGGAATGCCTCGTTTCCAGTAAAAGGGTCTCCGGTTCCTACACTCACCATACGAAACACAGCAGCATTAAGCTACTATTTGACGCTCGTATTCTGTGAGAGCGTGGTCCTTTCCCGGTCGAGCCTACCCATTCGTGCTACAACTACACTACTAATATAACTGCAGCATGGCTCTACCATGTGTAACGTGTAACGTATAGATGAAATAGACGCGTGACGCCAAAATCCCGGCAAATGGGAAAAAAGAAACATGAAACGTCAAACGTGATATAATTTTTGAAAAATAGTAATAAAATTAGGTACTTTTATTTTCCATGTACAATATTTTTGAGGGTCTGAATCCAACCCTGGCCTAATCTTAGTAACGTAACTCAAATAACTGTAATATAAAACTTTAAAAATGCGTTTATATAACAATTAAATATTAACAAAATGAGTATAAGGCTATTTTACCGATGATATGATATCCCATGTTCCTATTTAAACTTTGTATCGTAATTTTTGCACCCTTTCACCACGCAACTAGACATATTTATGACAGGCAAATCTGTCTTGCGCGCGCACCACTGTCGATCGAGTCGCGTTGGCCCTAAACTGTAATTTTAGGACCACCGCACTGGTCCGTTTTGGTTGTTCGGTCGGCCCGGTCCTTACGCTAGTAATATATAAGTCATTGAGTAGGATTAAAAGACAAAGACTTATGTTTTTTAACAAAGTTTGTAATATGTACAACTGCCTCACCGAAATCGGCACACAAGATGAATACAAAAAGCTAGTGGAGAACCTATATGGCTTAAAATGTATAACCTTCAGTAAACATCTTTGAGCTCTCTCAACTTCAATAAATTTACTTTTATAATTCCGCCCCCCCCCCCAAATAGGTTTACAATATATTAAAATGGATTTAGCAAGCGCTACATAAATTTGATTTAAATTATCCGGACAAGAAACATATCTTAAAGTTTTAAATATCCAAGTGAGTTTTCGAATTATACTAGACAATTATTCGACATGCTTGTACCAGGAAAGTCGTTAATCTACCATAACGCCCAGATACTTTGTGTATAATACTTTTTTAATCAATGTACACGTACAGTTACCGCTGGAAGGATTGTAACATTTATGTATTTTGATTCTAAAATCATCCTTTGGCTGTGACCGGCTAGTCATAGAAGAACATATGAATTGAGTTTTATTAAAATTCAAAGTAAGTCAGTTATTATTAAGCCAACGAGCAACCATAGCTAATTGTTTTTCCGCTATTAATTGAACTTTTTTCCAAGTGTCTCCTCAAAATAATATCGCATTATCACCTGCGTATGAGAAAACTCTTCCCCTGTTCACACTTATACTACACCGATTATAAATATACACTAAGAATAGCGTAGGGCCCAGTACGCCTCCCTGCGGTACTTCGTAATTAATATTTGTAAAGCTATTACTGTATTGACCTATTTTTACCTACTGTGTCCTATCAGAGAGATAGTTCTTTAAAAGTTTTAGAGGTATACCTCTAATACCAATCTGTTCTAACTTATTAACAAGAATGGGAATCGATACAGTATTGAAGGCCTTTCTAGATCCGGGAAGACAGCAAGACATTTTCTACCGTTATCTAAGGTATTAACAATTTGAGAACTCAACGCGGCAAAAGCCGAATTGAGAGTCTGCTAATATTTCAAATTTAGAGAGATATTGTATAAGTTTAGTGTTAATTAACTATTCCAAAATTTTTGAGAACACAGGCAGCAAGGAGATCAGTCGATAATTACTAAATTTTTTCTTATCTCCACTTTAGTAAATAGTCATCTTGAGTTCCCGTTGAAATATTGTCCTAGCCAGGGGCTAGATAGAGAGCTATGATAACACACTGCATCGAATAAGTGAAATCCATCGCTCGTACGATGCATTACAGTTACAGTCATCCACTTTTGTTTTGCTACGGCGAGTAGGGATACTCCATTTCTATATCAAACAACCGTTTAAAAAGTGGTTTCTGCTGTAAGTTTTTGTTCTTATCGTATAATGATTAGGA